TTCCAGTGGAATGAGACTCCAGCATGGTGTCTAAATGCTCATTGCAATAGTGTCACACGGCATTTATCTGCGGCATCAGTGGGGAGAGCCATCCCTCCGCAGACACCAGCTCCGGCAGCTGCTGATGCAGCATCACTAACGCCCAGACACCAGGGCCTGAGCCGACACCACAAAACCTCTACCCCAGAGGAAACCAGCTTGGCTGACGTCCTCCCAACAATCTAACCCACAACAGTTTGCACAGCCTGTTTCACAAGCACCAGTGGGTGTGGATGAATGGTAATAATTGACAGCAACTTGATATTACACCACGAATAGCCCAAATGTTTTAACTTGCAGAGAATTGATGCTTTTCTAGTTGGTTATTTAACTTTGCCAAATTTAGCAAGGGTTGCAAACAATCTTATTTGTAAGGTACTGTCAGTAGTTTCAACTTGAATGTTCTTACAACTGGCAGGGTTATGGCTCTTGAGAGAACCTACAACGCTTCTCACACTGCGGCCACAGGCTAGACACCCGCGTGCAGACCGAACACTCACTCTGCAAGGGCAGGGCTGTCCTTGTAGATGCAAAATATCCATTCTGGCCTATCACAGTTTGAGGGCTATTTGTTTCAAAAGCATAAAATCAGGGGCTCCAACTAATAGTGCATCAAAGGCAGAAATAACATGGGGGTGCAGAGGGCCGCCGTGGGTGGGGACTCCTCTCCTCCTAGCTGTATTCTAGACACACTCCTGTACCTCATCTGCGACAAGGGGCACCTCTTCTCCCCGTACCAACCTGGAGGTCGAGGCCAAGGTCTGGAGAAGCCCTACTAACGTGTGGATTGGGAGCTCAGGTGAGACAGCGCCGCCCCCCGCCCCCCGGATTCCCTTTGTAACCTGCCCACACCCGATTCACCAGCGAATCATACCATTCTCTTCAACCTCACACCTCTGAGAGTCGGAGGTGCTGCCCACACGGCGAGCTGCTGCCTCCTTTTACGGGCCTTGTTTTCTAGAGCCACGTGAAGCCAGTGACCTGCAGGTCACCAGGGGCTGCCTAACTAGTGCTCCTAACTAGGCAACTCCCTGACTAGTGCTGCATAACCAGGTAACTCCCTAACTAGGCAACTCCCTAACTAGTGCTGCCTAACCAGGTAACTCCTTAACTGTCTAACTAGTGCTGCGCATGTCACTGAACTCATCACATCTTAGGAAATGGCCCAGTTCTGACAAGTGCTCAGAGTTCTCACTAGATACGCACATTAAAAATGTTTTTGAAAATGCGCACCTATCAGCTTAAAAAAGAAAATGTAGCACCTGCCTTTCTGAATAAAACAACTGTGCAATCCTTCCCACTTCAGCCCCTCACTGGCCACAATTGTACCTGCTCAGGAAACCTGTTCAAGAAAAGTGTTTCACAGACTCAGCAGCGCCTGCCACCGCACCTGCTGTAGCAGGGGAGCACCGCCGACAGGTGCTCGAGGATGCTGTTGAAGGGCCTTTTCGGAGACTGGCTGGGACGGGCCGTGCGTCCCGGAGGACCGGGCAGTTTCTGATCAGCCGGGGGGCTGCGTTTTGGCTGAGCTGCCTGGCTGGCGCCCTCACACTTCTGCTGAGCGGAAGGCGATGCTGGCAGTGATGGCGAGGGAGCCCCCAGTGGGCGATCACCGGCAGAGACCAGGCTTGAATCCCTGGGAACCAGTGTGTGGTTTCCGGTCCCGTGACTTGCAGACGTGGAGGGACCCTGCTCATCCTGACCTGGAGACTCAGGAAGTGACTTTGGGCGAATCTGTGAGGGACACACCACAGTGGGACTTAGAGAAACATCCATGGCAAAGACTGATAATTAAACATGACTAAGACAAATATCGGAATACAATACAATTAAATGTTTGTTTTGTGTTTAATTACTAATCGTAACATGCCCGCTAGCTGTTAGAAAGGCTGGACTCTGACTCTCAGTAACTCCCTTCATAACTCCTTTCTCTGTGAAACCTGAAACGCCGCCTAAGGGAGAACATCGCACCCATCGACCTGCCTTCTCCCTCTCACGGGACCCCACTCCCTTCCCAGCTGCTCTTGGCGAGGAACCAAACAGCTGCTCCAACACCCCCCCCAAACTGCCCCCCCATATGCCAGGGCCGCCAACATCTCCACCATGAGCCCGGGACACCGATGCTGCGGTCATGTCAGTGCCCTCCTCCACTGCTGCAGCACTCCATGCGCCTGCGGGGAGAAACCTGGCCCACTCCGCACTCCGGGTGTAACTCCGGGTCTCGCTTCCCAAGCCCACAGGCATCTGAGGGCACAGACCACAGCTAATCTTGATCACCACTACATGCCCAGTGGATGAAGGGTGGGGTGGCAGAGAGGAGGTGGTTTTTAGGGTCCTTTATGTGCAAGCTCCTGGGACAATGAGAGCTCCCAGGTTCTGGATGTAAAATTATTTTGAGTATTTATAAGGTTATATTAGCTAGAATTAAACATTAATAGTAAAATATTCTGCTGAGATCTCTTTCCCCTTTCGTATCTGCTATAAGAACTTGGAAAAACTGTAAATGGTAAGTATCTTTAATTCTAAATAAAACTCTATTATTCATTTAATGGAGAGAAAAAACTTATTCTGTGGAGACAAAACTTTGAATCTCAACAGAATATTTTACTCAGTTCAAGGAGGCTAAATGTTTCTTTCGAGATGAATGCACTAAGTCTGAATGCTTAACATGCTTTTCTGATGAGAAAAAGCCATTCCAGACCAGGCTCACACCTGCAGGGAGCTGTCACCTAAGTTAAGGAGAGGAACACACCTGACAGAAGGTCCAGGGTCGGGGAAGAGGGCAGCCTGACTGGGCTCAGGGGAAGGCAGGACGCAGACTGAGGATGGGCCCCGGGTGGGGAAGAGCCAGGCAAAGTCTGGCAGTAGCAGGAAGGTGTGAATCAAATGCTGGGGAAATGGGGGCTTTAAAGACCATTTCAGAACCAGAAGATTTCAATGTTGTGGCAAAACATTCTGAAATCTATCTCTGATCAACTCTTTTTGTTTTTTTGTTAATCCTCACCCAAGGATATTTTTCCATTGATTTTTAGAGAGAGTGGGAGGGAAGGGGAGAGACAGAAAGAGGGAAACATCGATGTGAGAGAGACACGTTGATTGGTTGCCTCCCGCATGTGTCCCAACCAGTGTCAGGAAATGAGCCTACAACCAAGTTACGTGCCCTTGATCAGAACTGAACCCGGGACTCTTCAGACCACGGCTGACACTCTATCCAATGAGACAAACTGGTTAGGGCTTGTTTTTCTTTTTTATTTGAGAGGAAGGGATGTGAAATGAGAGGGAGAGAGGAAGAGGAAGAGAGCGACATCATTTTGTTCCACTTATTCACTGGCTGATTCCTGTATGTGCCCTGACCGGGGATGAACCCGAAACTTCAGCTTCAGGATGACGCTCTAATGAACTGAGCTACCTCGCCAGGGCTCTAGTAAACTCCTGAATGGAGTCCTTCTTGAAATTCTTATGGTCTGGTCTCCCTAGGGCTGAGCTCATTTCAGTTCAGTATTCACTGAGCATCCGCTGTGTCCAGATAAGAATCACATATGCCAGAATAAAGCGGCACTAGGGTTCGCCACGTGCTAAAGTCCACAAAGTAAAGGGCATGCTCTTCGTGACGGTGCTGCATATTCTAAAACAAGACCAGGCTTGGCAATCACTGTTATTCAGAAGACTCAGCATATTCCTCAAACCAGCAGCGCAATGGGATATGCCAGACCCACAACGCCCACGTGTGTCTCACAGATAGCAGTGTTTATCTGTATTTCACAAGAAAAAAATCTTAAATTTCAGATGTGGTCTCCTGCCTCTAAACATCAAGGAATAAATTGCAGGCACCTGCTACACCTGGAATATTTGTTCAAAGGCAGGGACACTCACACACACACCTCAGCATCCAGAAAAGAAAGGGGAGATGAGCAGCAGTGTATTCGCCACCTCAGGTCTCTCCTTAGACCCGGAGATAGAAAGTCTCCTATTTATATAGAATGTTTACTGTGACACCTAAAGGTTAACTAGTCGCACCAACAATGAAAACATGAAGGCAACTATTCATCCATCCCATCCCCACTCCCAGACAACAGCAGCAGCCAACGACTTTGGCCAATGAGGCAAGAAACTGGCTCATTATGCTTTGTTTTCTTCCCTCCAAAAAGAAGCCGACAGACTTACTGAGCTCCATGCAGGAAACGGGAGCGCGGAGATCTGCACGTCAGGAAGCTCACTGAGCCGAGAGCCAGTTTTAACGGCCTTAACGTGTTCTTCAAACTGAGACTGTAGGTAGAAGAAAAGGGTCTAGTTTTCTAACAAATTCCAAGGGAAACCACAGTCGTCAATGAGTGCTATTTTTCTTACTATACATTAAAAACGACCAACAATCTTCCAAGAAACAAATGAAACGAGGGTATTAAAGCGACTGTTTCCTGCAGGACAAAGTGCAGAGTAAGACCTCACTGACAGACACACTACAGCCTCATCCACACGCTGCTCTCACCTCAGCATCCAGGTTAGAGCTGGACAGTTAAGAAATATCATTACTTTCATGAAAAACTCTTCTTAAAATTTCAATAAATATTATCTATTGCTTTTAACAGCTCAAAAAAGGAACGGTTTCCATCTGACTAGCCCAGCCGTGGGCAAACTAGGGCCCACGTGCCAGATTCGGCCCGTTTGAAATGAATAAAACTAAAAAAAAAAAAAAAAAAAAAAAAGACCCTTTTATGTAATGATGTTTACTTTGAATTTATATTAGTTCACACAAACACTCCATCCATGCTTTTGTTCCGGGCCTCCGGTCCAGTTTAAGAACCCATTGTGGCCCTCGAGTCAAAAAGTTTGCCCAACCCCTGGACTAGCCGCTTAGAATTATAACCATCATATAGATTTTGACAGAATTATAAAATGTTTTACAACTTACCTCTGCTTTCTCAATTTCTTTTCTAACATCAGAAAGAAATGATTCCCATGAATGTATGTCAGACTCTAGTTCAGGATATGCTGCAGAATCACTGAAAAGGAGAAAAACATGTAACTGCTAAAGTACAAATTAAAACAAACATTTAAACATGAAAGATATATTTCACATGATCACACACACACATACAAAACAACAACTATATTTTTGCCCAGCTGGTATGGCTTGGTGGTTGAGCACTGACCCATGAACCAGGAGGTCAAGGTTACATCCCTCCCGGTCAGGGCATATGCCTGGGTTTTGGGCTCAATTCCCAGTGGGAGGCATGCAGGAGGCAGCCAATCAGTGATTTTCTCTCATCGCTGATGTTTCTCTCTCCCCCTCTCCTTTCTTCTCTGAAATTGATATAAAATATCCTATATAATAAAAGCCTAATATATTATGTGTCTGGGAGTCTATTCAACCAATCAAAGCATAATATGCTAATGACATGCTAAGGCCACTCAACCACTCGCTATGACGTGCACTGACCACCAGGGGGTAGACGCTCCAACCAGTAGGTTAGCATGCTGCTGGGGTCCGGCTGATCAGGACTGAGCGAGATGGGCCGGACATGCCCTGGAGCCCTCCAGCAGTCCCTTCCTGCCCCGACTGGTGGGGTCCCTCGGCCTGGCCTGTGACCTCTCGCAATCCACGACCCCTTGGGGGATGTTGGAGAGCCGGTTTTGGGACGATCCCACAGGCCAGGCAGAGGGACCCCACTGGTGCATGAATTCATGCACTGGGCCTCTAGTATTAAAATAAAGAAATAAATAAAATGGCCCTGCCTAATGTAAGATTTTTTCCTCACCTGTAACTTTCATTTGCTAAATGACATGCTGGGAAATATACCCATAATGCCTACAGTACCTGCGCAATTGCTTCAGGGTCTTCAGATACCCTTCTGCTTGTGATTCCACAATCTGTAACTTATATACTTCTGCCTCTCTCCGGTTTTCAAGCACAGATACCTACCATGAGATGAGAGAACGTTTAAGTATTCTAAAACTGAAAATCTGAAACTAGTTGAATTTGTTAAAACTTAAACATTCTACACCACTTTGCAGTTTCTTCCTAAATGACACACAATGAGAGTCACCAGAACTTGTTTATGTTGTAATGTCAGGTGACTATGCATTAAAACTTTTGGATGTGAAACTAGAGTAACAAAATGACAGACCTTAAATGCCACTTTCCTCAGAGACGACACTTCCCACGTGGCTGACAGCTGCAGCACAGAGCGCGGCTACCTGTGTGCTTCCCCCAGTGGGCGGTACCTGCGCCTGTCTACCCAGGCAGAGCGCCCACAGCCGCACCCTGTCCGACTCCGAGGCCGCGGAGACGCTGTGCTCAGCTTCACGGGCGTCGGGAGCCCTGGCGCATGCTTTTCCAGCAGCGGACTCGCCGGCTTCCCCACCAGCCAACCAGCGGCTTTTGAGAGTCACTGCAGGAAGTGTAGAACTGCCTGCTTCCGTCCAGGTGTCAGCACCTTGCCAGGACCCACCGGCAAAAAGGCTTGCCAGGTGGTGGTGAGAACTGACAGCTCGGGACATGGGCACGAGCACGGCGCCGCAGACGACAGGTGCTCGGCTTTTACTTCCCTCCCTTCCTTAGCGGCAGCTACACAGTCGATATTTAACTGAAAGACTCGTGTTTGCAGATTGCACAAGCTAAGCCTTCTTTTATTTTCCCAGAATAATTACAGACACATATGCCCATAAACCACATTAACTTCTTAATTAGACAAACCACGTTTCAGAACTAAATAAAGTACAGCCAGGGGTCATCATTTTTATTTTTTTGTCTCACTACTTTCTCAAACACTGACACTGGCATATATCCTTTTGGGGGGAGGGCGAGGGCAAGTATATTCTTAAGTGGATGATTTTCGAGTTCCTTTTCTAGTATTGGCAAACGTGCTTTATGGCTGACTCTTGACTAAGTATAATGAAGCCATTCAAAGTGGAGAGCATAAAAATGACTGAGTTACAATGTTCAATAAGGAAAGCAGGTTACAAAATTTGGTGTACACTGAGCACAGCTACGTGACACAACATAAGCGTGAGGGCAAACAATGAAGAAGCTGCAGGCGAGACAGGACCCCTCGAGCCTGCGTGCTCCCGGCAAGGCTGTGGTGCCCCAGGTGCAGTCAGCACAGAGCAGACCAGGGCCTGTGCCCTGTCTGCCAGTCCCCCTGGGGCGGGGCTCACCTCTGCAGCCACAGCTCTTTGAAGAACCTCTTCATATTGCTCCTTCCCTTTCCTTAATTGCTCTTCTATTTTCGTTTTCTCATTTGTAAATGTGTTACTGCAAATAGTAAAGGAGAAACACTTTTTGAAAAAAATGTTACCACTGAGATTACAAAGGCTAAAGCTAGGGTAACAGTGAGGTCGTGCCACAAAAAGACATAGACATCTTCCAGAGTAACTTCTTGCCTCATATTTTACTGTGTAATAGACTCACATGTGCTCTTCGCACTTCACAAATGATCACAGGAAGGTATGAAATTGAAAGTGAGGCCCTGACTGGTTTGGCTCAGTGGACAGAGTGTCGGCCTGCGGACTGAAAGGTTCCAGGTTCGATTCCAGTCAAGGGCATCTACCTTGGTTGCGGGCACATCCCCAGTGGGAGGTGTGCAGGAGGCAGCTGATCGATGTTTCTCTCTCACTGATGTTTCTAAGTCTCTCTCTCTCTCTCTCTCTCCCGCTTCCTCTCTGCAAATAAATCAATAAAATAACTTTTTAAAAAAAGAAAGTGAGGAACTGGTGGGAAACTGGTTCACCATTTTTATGAGCACAGAGGGAGTATAATCTGTTATATTAATACACTTTATAGAATATCCGTCATCCTTTGAGTAAGAAATTCTATCTTGACACAAATTACAAGGAAATAACCCAAAGGAAAAAACGATCTATATAAAGTTGTTCATGGCAATATACCTGTAACAGCTAAAACAAGGCAGGCATGGACCATAATGTGAATGGAAATGCGTATATGAAACAACATATGAGAAAAGCAGAATACAACTGCTTACTACTGAACAGACTGGCAACCAATATGTGAAAACATTATTTCCATTTAATAAAGGTTAAAAGAAAACTTTTTTATAGGTTCATAATGAAAATCCTTCAATGAACCTATAATCACAGCAACAAACTACCATAATGTAGTTGAGACTGGTATTTCAGTAACACAAAAGAAAAGTGTTTAAAACACACATTTAGTTTCAAGCTAACTCAAGGGAAAAGAGGCGTAATAATCAACTATAAATTTAGATTTTTAAACTGACAATGTGGAATAAAGTAGGAACATCACAACATAAAAATACTTAAAGGATAAATTTTAAATATTAAATAATAAAATAGAAAATAAAAAGAGAAACAATCATTTAAAACATAGACAAGCAACAATATGTTTAGATGTCCTGTGTGCTTGTGCCTCTACTATTAAAAGTATTAGACATACAAATAAATTTAAATTTAATTTGCCTGATTTCAGAAGACTGATCCAGAAGGAATTCATGTTCCTTTTCCTGTCCATCATTTTTCTGGGTGTACCTATGAAAGCATAATCACCAAATTTTAATTAGTTTTTTCAAGATTTTTTTACAAACCTGATCCAGAGTAAATTCTACCCACAGCCATGCAAAATTCCTCGAATTCTTTGTAAGTTTTTACATTTTGTTTCATTTCTAGTATCTTCAAAATAGGCAAAGAATTTGGGTCATTTTCCTCTTTGGAAGCTTTCCTTTTACACTTGGAGGGCAGATCACGGATTTCAGCCATTTTATCTGATCACTAAGTCATATGCCTGTCACATGTCATCCTATCTCAGTCCACTTCAAGGAGCACTCCTGGGAGGTTTAAGATGAGACAGGAGTACAGTATGACCAGGGGTTCTCATTCAAAATGCAAACAGCCTCTGTTTGTGTGTGTGTGTGTGCTTTTTAGGATGTGTTTTTATTGATTCTTATTTTTATTATTTATTTTGAAAATATATTTTTATTTATTTCAGAGGGGAAAGAAAAGGGAGATAGAGATAGAAACATCAATGATGAGAGAGAATCATTGATTGGCTGCCTCCTACACTGGGGATCGAGCCTGCAAACTGGGCATGTGCCCTAATCAGGAATTGAACTGTGACCACTTGGTTCATAGGTCAATGCTCAATCACTGAGCCACACCAGCTGAGCTGTTTTTATTGAGTCAGAAAGAGGGGGCGGGGGGAAGGGAGTGGGTGAGAGAGAGAAGGGAGAGAGGGAGGGCAAGAGGAGGAAGAGGGAGAGAGAGGGGGAGAGAAAGAAGGAGAGAGAGAGAGAAAGTTGTGAGAGAGAAATATCTGTTGCTTTCTGTAGTGCCCTGACTAGAAATTGAATCCATAACTTAAGTATGTGCATTGACTGGGAATCAAACTAGCAACCTTTTGGTGTATGGGACACCGCTCCAACCAAATGAACTACTCAACCAGGGCCAGCCCCTACTCTTTAAAATAAAACTTAAGCCCTACCTGGTTTGGCTCAGTGGAAAGAGCATTAGCATGTGGACTACAGGGTCCCAGGTTTGATTCTGGTCAAGGGCACATGCCTGGGTTGTGGGCTCGATCCCCAGTAGAGGGTGTGCAAGAGGCAACAGATCAATTATTCTCTCTCATCATCGATGTTTCTATCTCTATCTCCCTCTCCTTTTCTCTCTGAAATCAATAAAATACATATACTAGAGGCCCGGTGCACAAAATTCGTGCAGGGGGTGGGTGTGTGTCCCTCAGCCCAGCCTGCACCCTCTCCAATCTGGGACCCCCTAAGGGCAGTCAGACATCCCTCTCACAATCAGGACTGCTGGCTTCCAACCGCTCGCCTGCCTGCCTGCCTGATTGCCCCTAACTACTCCCCTGCCAGCACGATTGCCCCAACTGCCCTCCCCTGCAGGCCTGGTCCCCCGCAACTGCCCTCCCCTGCCAGCCATCTTGTGTGTTGGAGTGATGGTCAATTTGCATATTACTCTCTTATTAGGTAAGATATACATAAATAAAACTTAGAGTCCAACACACACTCATGTGTGCACTGTCTGACAACCCTTCAAAACAAAGTGCTAATCTGACCCCTAGGCAATGCCCTGAGGGAGTATGTTCTACCTCTTCATGCTCCCCTACACACCACTTAGTCATCTCTACTTGCTGAACACATTTCCACTAAGAACCAGCTTCAAGGCCTTTCCTTCTTGTGTAGACATATTCCTCTAAGCACTCAATTTTGTCCTGTTCTTTCAAGGAACCTGCGTCATTTCCATAGATGCCGCTGGTCTGTCCTACTGCACCAAGCAGGAGCTCCCTATGCTCCAGCCATTTTTAATACTAAGTGTGACCTAAAGTGTACAAAAACCACATCCTTGCTCATATCCTTTGAGCTTCTTTAGGAGAGCTAAAAGTGTTAAGATTTTGCTTTAAAAGCTAAATATAAAGCATTTACTTGGAAAGTATAAAGCACAGAGAAGCCTATGGCTTATCTTTAAACAGTGACCAAAAGAGACAAAGAAATATATATATTAATAAAGTGTGTGTGTGTGTGTGTGTGTGTGTGTGTACCAGTAAAAAGTCTCCCCAACAGGAATGGTTAATTTTTATGTGAGCAGAAAAAAATATTTTCTCATCAACAGATTCATTTATTTTTGTTTAGTTTGACAGAATGTCTAAATTGAGCATGTAAAAATATGCTAAACATAAATACTTCTGAATTTTTGGATAACAATGATTAAGACTAGACCTGCTCAAATATGAAGAAGAAAAGAGCTTTAAAGACATTATCTTTTCTGCAAATGTGTTCCCTGAAGCTACTTGGACGTGACAGAGGCAGTGTTTTATGTTCACCATTCTTTTAAGGGCTACCTAGAAACTGCCCAGATGTGATGCTAGCGAGACATAATGAAAGCCATGTGATCACATGGCACAGCAAATGGAAAACGCATAAATGCCCTGAAAGATGAGTGTGGTTGTTGTGTCCCCTGGTGACTCGGCCCCCACTGTGCAGCTCTGCTCTGGACGAGGCCGGCACCCCGCCTGAAACTGGAGAAGGTGGTGGAGGGATGCCTGACAGCTCTGGCGCAGACCTGCAGGGGCCTGGCAGCTCCTGCTCCTGCACTCTTGGAAGCTCCCAGGGCCACACAGGGAGTCTGGCTACCATGCTAGAGACCAGATGGAGAGACTGTGTAGATAAAAGTCACAGGGAGGCCACAGGGAGAGGGAGAGAACAAGACACCAGCATCCCGGCTGAGCCCATCCCCAGCTAAACGCAGCCAGAGGAACCACTGGCAAGACCAGCGGATAATGGCCCAGTTGCACTCAGCCCAGACTGTGGGATCACCGTCAGCTAAAGTGGCTGCTAATTTAAGCCACAGAGTTTTGGGTGTTTTGTTACACAATAGGTAACAATTAAGCTAAGTAAATCCTAGGACATATCACTGTTTAAGGAAGAAAGGGGTTAGGAATCCATCATGGAGAATTTTAGCACCAACTTGGCCCATCTGACAACTGTAAGGCTGGTATGTATTTCCAAATCCCTCACACTATAGAACGGAATTCAATGCTTTCAAGATTCAGGGTGAAAGTAATCATAAGTAAAATAATCACCACAGAATCTTAGTGCTGAAAAGAAGCTTAAGATCTAGACAAGACCGCTCATTTCACAGAAAGTGGGGTGTGTGTGTCAAAGGTCATGGTCACAGTAGAGGGAGTGCTCAGACTAGAAGGATGCCTTTCTTTAATTCACAGTCTCACTTTATCTGCAAATATGGCAGGTTTAGAAAAAGTTTCAGGTGACATATTTCCCCAACAGATGTTTTTAAAAATTAGATGAAACAGTATCTAAAATTTTCACTTCACCCGATTTAGTTTGAAATGGAATATCAAAAATGTTAAAATATCAACAACCCTTACCCCAAAAAACAAACAATAAAAATCATTGCATTGAGCCTTACTTACGTTTCAGTGGCATCTGAAACCCTTTTCATTTCCTTCTTTAGTGCTGCTAGTCTTTCTTGTATTTCTTTTTTCTCCTGTTGCCATTTTTTAATTTCCTTTTGCAAATCTTCGAGGAACCAGTCTAATTCTGTCTTTGAGATCTAAAACGATTTTAGAAAGATTTACTTCATGAAACAAAGGAGCCTGAGATCAGAATTGTGCTGGTGACCCCGCCTAGGCCCTGACTCGGGGTCAGCAGAACTGTCACAGCTGGCTGTGCTCCCGGGCTGAGCCTGGGCTACGACGTGGTCCAGGATGTGGCCTCAGCGCCAGCACCCCTCTCCTGCCCTCCGTGAATCAGGCAGGGGGATATGTCAGGTAACAAACCAAGAACAGACCATGGTGCTCAGAAAGGGCTTCTCAGATATCCGATCTCGGGCTCCCAGATGAGCCTGCCACTCGCAGCACGACTCAAGCAGAAGAATAAGGTTACGGCACATCTGCACAAAAGCAAGAGGTGTGACGCAGCGGGAGTGCAGAGTGGACGTATGGAAGGCAGAGCAGGGAGAAATGGCTTCGGTGTCAAACTGGTTACAACAAGGTCTCAAGTGTAAGAGGACAAATGCCTAGGCCCCGGGAGTCTGTTCGACTATAGAGAAACAGTCTTAGCTGGGTTCTGGAAGCAGAGGCCTGTGGTGCAAGGAAGACATAGAGGAAATTGGAGTATTTCCTCTGAGACAGCTTTGAGAAGATTCGTGTCTGACCCCAGCACCCTCCTGTCTCCGCGGGCACTCGGTTTGCAATGGCCCGGGAGGCATCTGGCTGGCCAGCCCAGGTCCCTGCAGACTGCCGGTTCCGACTGCAGTGGTGGGCTGGTTCCAGTGGCCTCCAGGTGCACAGCCAACTGTTCCTGGGCAGCAGAGGTTCAGTAACAGTCCAGTGACACCCCCTCTAGCAGGGGAATGTTCTCCTTACATTTTCCTTGCTGACTCTGGATTTGCTGAGTCATTACAATGACTAAGGTGACCTCCTCTACTTACAAAATCCTGATTCTACCTGGATCACTCGTACAACTATGAGCAAAGTCCATCTGCATGCCTTGCTGCTGGCGGCCACGCTAACCTTGTTTCTCACCCACCTGTGCTTCTATTCTAAGCCAATGATTTCACCTCTGAACCAACCCTTTGGCTGGGAGATGATGTGCAACCAAAGGTTCTACTGTGGCATGACAACCGCCTTGGCAACAAGTACCTGAAGGAATCAGGTATCAAAATGCACTAAGTATTATAAGCACACACTCTTATAGCTCAACCACAAAAATATGCTGCGGGAGCTCGCCTACTGTTTGGACCGACCACCTTTCAATGACACGGGCCTCACAACACTAACCGGGGCAGCCTCCATGCACTTGTCTCTGACTCCACCAACGACAAGGATCTGAATCCTTTTCCTGCAAATATCAGAATAAAAGGAGGAATAGCCCAGAGGATATAACTGTATCCTCTATATGCACTGGTTTAGAGAGAGAATTATAATCACTTTCTGACGATTCTTTTCTCAATTAGAGAAAATTTGGTTTCTGTACCTCTTTTTTAAAACCTCAACTTTATTTCAAAATAAGTATTTGAGGTATCTTCCACCGAGCCACACTGGCCAGGCTCAATAACGAGTTTCCTGAGCTAATTTTATTCTATTTAATACATTGCCCCAGCTACTGATCCAGACTTCTGCAACAGGCTCTTCCTTTCTTAAATGACTACCATCCCTGTTACCTCTAGATCAGTGGTTCTCAACCTGTGGGTCGTGACCCCTTTGGGGGTCGAACAACCCTTTCACAGGGGTCACCTAAATACATCCTGCATATCAGATATTTACATTACGATTCATAATAGTAGTAAAATTACAGTTATGAAGTAGCAACGAAAATAATTTTATGGTTGGGGATCACCACAACATGAGGAACTGTATTAAAGGGTCGCGACATTAGGAAGGTTGAGAACCACTGCTCTAGATGGAAGACTGTACTTCAAAAAGAAACACACCACGATTTCTCACATCTATAATTCCACATCCCTCACATCCCCCCAATTCGATCTGGCTTTGCCGCTAATTAGTATGACTCCAATAGCAGTTACACGTAACTGATAATCTTAGCCAACATAATTCAAGATCAGGAGACTCAGAAAAGACCCCCTGGGTGGCTGTGCAGTTCTGGGGTGCGTAAGCTCTACGTGTTATTCTCACCCTTACTTAGGAATACGATGAAGATGATAATAATAGTAATAACAGTGGCAGCCAACATGCACAGAGCCCTTCCTATGCACCAGTTTTAAGTACTTTGTAAGTATTAATCTAACCCCACAAAATGAGAGCAGTTATCGTCCACATTTCCCAGGTAAGGAACTAAGCACAGAGAAGTTAATAACTTGCCCCAAATCGGAACTGGGAGCGGGCCCAGTCTGATCTGAAGCCAGCCAGTCTGACTCCAGGCCGCACACTCCTCACCACTAATGCTACTGCCTCTCAATACAAACAAGACTAACTTGGAACTCAGTCACCAGAAATAGTTTTGGTTAATCAAGCGGACTGAACTATAGGTAAATGAAAACCCAGATTTACAGCCCCTTTCTTATATGGTGACTTGCAGAGGTCCTAAACATTGAAAAAAAACCCACCAAAGACACTGCCACTTTAATTTGTCCTGGAGAAATTTGAAATAAGCAATACTGAGAAGAATCCTTTGTGTAGCCAACAATGCAGACGCTCAGCTCATGAGCTGCACAAGCACGTTCTCCTAGTGATGCCACATGCTCTTAAAGAGAGGTTTCAGACAGCATTACCTTGTTTTCTTCCAAGTTCCTTTTCAACTTTTCTTCCAGGTCCCTGGTCTCTTCTGAGCCCTTCAGTTTTCTCTGCTCGTAATTTTCACAGGCTTCCTCAAGCTGCTCTTGTAAAACGTGGGACTCCTTTTCAATCTGTGAAATATCCCCCTAAAAGTAAATTACAAAGTTTTCTATTAAAGTAGCGAAAAATGCTTATTTCTGATCTTGTCCTGAACTGCTTCTTAAAATAAACAAAGGAGAGTAAAAGGCAGATGAAAATTTTCAAGGGAAATGCCACAATGACTCAAGAATTAAAAACTCCTGAACACTGTTAAGCAAAGCCAGCTCTTTTAAAATAATGTTATTCATATTACTGGAATTTGTAACAAAACTTTTCGATCTGTACTATAACTAGTTCTGAATATTTGTCTTAGAAGGGTTTGGTATTGAATCAGTAGTTTGATGTGAATGTCATTCTCTAACAATTAACATCAAGAACTATTTTTTAGGTTTAAAAGCTGCATATTTTATGCATATTTTAGATATGAACAGAACTTTTTTTTACTTTGGTTCTACTTTACAGTGTTTTAAAAGGATAGCTGCTGTTTTTTTTTAAGTTAAAATATTATCAATGAATTGCTTTCAGATATATAACTATCTCAAACCAGCTTTATAACAAACAAACAAAAGCCATACTCTAAGCAGTGGTTCTCAACCTTCCTAATGCTGCGACCCTTTAATACAGTTCCTCATGTTGTGGTGACCCCCAACCATAAAATTATTTTCGTTGCTACTGTTTTGAATCGTAATGTAATATGCTATACAGTGCGGCCTTGACTTACAAGTTTAATTCATTCCAAGACCGAGCTCATTAAGGAGCTCGTTAACTCAAATTACTCTATCAACTCAATGCAAAAAATCGGCCGAGAGACAGCTGGTATCTCAAAAAACTCATTAGTCTGGACACTCGTAAGTCAAGGCCCCACTGTATGTGTTTTCTGATGGTTGTGACCCACAGGTTGAGAACCACTGCCAGTATCTTTTTAGTAACTATGGAATGGATCAAATAACTTTTCTCTGAAGGTATATTAGCTAGTAAATTATATTAATAGATTTTCTAATTCAATCATTCTTTAGAAAGTGAAGGTCTTTATAATATGATCTATATCATTCATGTGAATAAGCACTATTTATCAATTAATACAGGCTGATTATAGCACTTAAACCAGCGGTTCTCAACCTGTGGGTCGCGACCCCTTTGGCAGTCGAACGACCCTTTCAAGGGGTCGCCTAAGACCATCCTGCATATCAGATATTTACATGACGATTCTTAACAGTAGCAACATGACAGTTATGCAGTAGCAACCAAAATAATTTTATGGTTGGGTCACAACATGAGGAACTGTATTTAAAGAGCCAGAAGGTTGAGAACCACTGAGTTAAACAGTAAAGCCATTATACTATGAAATAAATAAGCTCGAAAAAAAATCTTACCTTTTCATTCTGCTTCTCCTTACCCAATTCAAAACAGATAAAAACAGAACAGGATTTTTTTGGTTATTCTCTAAAGCTTATTCCATAATAACATTTCAGATGGAATTACTAGTAGGTGGCTCCAAAATAGTTCTAGTCAGTCATTCCCATCTAGTTAAATGAAGGACACTCGAACCTTTACACAGTGTAATACAATTCTGACTCACCTGTTGTGCCTCAAAAGGATCATACGGCTCAGTATTGACTTCTTGATGTGCTACATTCCCAGACACCTTTGGGGCAAAACAAACACTAAATTTTAATCTATGTCAACTGCTCTGGTAAAATAGGTCCATTATGTAATACCATTTAAAAACATGCTCACAATTTTTGTAAGGTTTTTTTTTTTTAAATGATTTTGACTCATTAGAAAATAGAAAACTTAGTGAGTAGGGGATAATCCAATCAGGGTTTAATGAATTCATGCCCAGTAAAGTTAACTACAGAGGCACCTAAATTTATTCTCATGCTTGTTAGGAAGGAACTTTTATGCACCCCCCTCCTGTTTCTCTCCATCTGGTTGCCTTAACTCCCTCCTACTTCCGTTTTGGTAGGAGAAACTGGGCATGCATGTGTAGCCCGGACTCTCTGTCCCTTCCTCTTGGGAGGTGCGTGTGCAGAAAGCACACTGTCCCTCCTTCTCTACATCGTATGGGGCAGGCACCCACATGGGGAGGCCTCCAGTCCAGCGCTGCTGTAAGGCATACACTGGTGAGCGGGGTTCCTGTTAGGACATGCACTCTGCATAGAAAGAAGCACATCTCCAACTGTGCCTTAATATTACTAAGGTGATGTTTGGTTACATCTACTGATTCCTCTAGTTTATTTCTCAACTGGAGCAAAACTGGGGTAGAAAACAAGGGTATTATTTACTAGGCCCTAAAATTCTTTCTTGACAAGATTACCTATTATGTCCTACAAAAGGGATCATATTTTTAAGACATTTTCAGGTGAAAGCATTAGTAACCATATTTGTTCAATCATTTTAGTGTATATATATTGGCAATAAAAAATGAAAAAAAAATTTAACTTCAGTATTAAGACAACTTTTTTCTATTTAAGTCTTACCTGTATGGCAACCACTTGTGTATGTGGAATATTTGTGGCTTCATCGGTCCTTTCTGGGTTTGCTTCCTGCTTGTGGGCAGAATTTCCACAGTGACCATTATTTCTGCTGGGCTCACTCTGGGCTGGATCAGCACCACCTGTGCTGTCCTGTGACTTTACTGATATCTCCAAAGAGTCCTGAAGGATCTGTGTTTCTGAGGCAATCTGGTTGCCAGGGGCATGCTCAGCATTCAAACGACGACCATCAAAATACACAGCAGCACTCTGATCTGGTCTGTCATTGGCTACGTAAGATGACACCACTGTCACTGATGTTTGCAGCTGATATTCAGTTGAAATGGTGGCCAGTGGTGTGTAAATGTTAGTGTACTGGGGCAAGGTTGGGACCATGCTTATGTATGCTGGTGGTGGCGGGGTAAGCTCGAATGCCCTGAAGGGAAGGTATGTACAGTACCCTGTGACCACATGGGCTTGAGTCCAATAGGTTGTTTTCACATCCTCATGAACTGGCTTGGGAGAAATGGAGGTCGAACGACCCTGAGGATGGCGACTCGCATCCTCAGAGGCTGCTTTGGGAGGACTGGGAGCGACCTCTTTGGGCTTCTCGCCCTCTGAAACTGACCTGCGAGAATTCTCAGACACTGGCTGTGGCTTGGACACTGGTTGTAGCTTGGACACTGTTTGTGGCTTCTCAGCTTCACAGGCTGGTTTGGGAAAATCAGCAGAGGCAGGCTGGGGTTTTGCACCCTCAGAAGCTGGTGCTGAAGATAAACTGGACACTGCTTTGGACTTCACATCTGGTTTAAATTCCCTAGCGGTTGGATTCAGCGGCAGTTTAACTCGTAAGTACTCTCCTGTTTTTGACATTTCTTCCACTTTTGTTTTGATGTTTTTCTTCCTTCTCTTTTTCTTGAGCCGTGATGCAACTTTCTTCAAAGCAATACAGTTGTCAATCACAACAAAACGAGGACATCCTAGGAGGAAAGATTTCAAACCTCCAGCTTTTTCTAGTATCTGACGAGTTTCTTCTGGGAAGAATTCATATTCTTCAGAGAACATCTTGTTACTCATATCCAAGGGACCATGCTCCTCCAACAACTGAGAGAAATAACTGGGGGGAAAAATTTGCATTTATATAAGTTATTATAAGTACTGGTACATGTTCATTAGAAATATACTATTTCCCAAAAAATTCTCCCAAAGCAAATACTATTTCACTTCCAGCTGATCTCAACTCCTCCCCAACAAATATTATACTCATATTAAATCTGAGAAAGGCTAACTGTAACCAATGATACTATAAATAAAGTTTTGTTTCTCTCAGAAAATAATTTTTAAAAAGTTTTTTTAGTAAAAGAAATAAAAGGGCTTAAAAAGTTACTTTATACGTTTTAATTATATAAGTATACAATCTATTTAAAAAGCAATGAAAAGAAACTTTATCTGAGAAAAAACAAAATGCCAAGTGAAAAGAGGAAATAAAACTTCCAGAAAATATCTGATTGGAATTTGCATATAGTACATCTATTGTAATTTTTTGTTTAAGAGTAGGATGTGATTCAGAGGTATTGAAATCAATCATGTCCGATCAATAAGCCAATATAGTACAGGATCAGACCCACAGAAACAGGGCAGGTCCCTTAATCTGCCTCCAGCTCTGGATTGTGGTCACCCCAGGTCTGGGCACTATCTTTTCTCAGGCTCAAAAAGGCTTCCTCCTCCATGTGAATTTGGTCTTCAGTCTGTAACAGTGAGAAACTAACAAGACAGACACATACCACATACAACTAAGAAGGCTTTTCAAGAGCAAAAATCTCCAAAGAAACTTTCTTAGTAAATTAATCTTAACCAGGAAGACAAGTTATTTAGGAGATAAAAGCAACACTTTTTGAAGCAAAGAAAACTCCTTTCTGTGCAGAAGCTGCTGCAGATAAATGCACAGAACAATTACAAACAGCTGCCCTCTGTGCAAATGGCCGATGCTCTGAAACATAAAGACCCAATGTCACTCTGTCAGCACTGCTGCTCTCAATACTGAAAAGTCACCCATCTCTCTTAGAGTGTTTTTTGATGACTATGTTCCCTTAGAATAATTTCTACAATTGAAACTTCCCTACATACATGATGTTTTGCAAGATAACATGTTAAATATGTTTTTGCTTTAAGATTCCCATCAAACTTTATTTTTAATGGGAAATTTCTAAAAACAAAAAGGGGTTGAGGAGAGTGAAGTATGAAGAAACAAGTGATGCAGTCTCGGGAACAGTAATCCTTGTAGAGGATTTTGGCTGATTAGTATAAATAACATTGGCCCTCCCCTCCTTTGTCTGAAGAGAGTCCTTTTCTGTTGGTGTTTAGTTGCCACTGAGCAAGAGCAGAACAATCATCAATGGTGTGTACGTATTTACTCCTTCTCTCCATGATGAATACTTAAGAGAATCATTGAAACAGAAAACGTTCTATCTGGATGAAAATACTTAAATCCCAAATGGGGTAACTGAAGAAGAGACCACATGAAAGGAATCACTCTCCGTCTCAACAACAAATTTCAAGTTACACATGTGACAAGGACAGTATGATTATGCGACCACGCGAGCTTTTCCACAGCCAGTCACGAAGTGCTGATGCCGTGCTGGACACAACCATCCAGCAACCAGTAGGTCACGTTCCTGAAGAACAGTCAGGAATATGAAAAATGCTCACTGTGCATTTTCAGGTGAAAAGGTAAATGACAAGGCTGAGCATATAGTACAACCACAGTTTGCAAATCTTGAAACCCATTTTATACACAGACTTTTAAAAGTCTGAGGGGATGCACACCAAAAGTTAACTGTGGTTATATCTGGATGATAGAAATAATTTTTTTTATTTTGTCCTTTCAACTTTATTTTTTAAAAATTCAAGTATTATCTATATATATAAAAGGCTAAGCAACTGTCCGACCATCTGACTGTCTAGTACCTATGATGTGCACTCACCACCAGGGGGCAGATGTTCAACACAGGAGCTGCTGAGCTGTGGTGACTTGGCTGCAGTGGTTCTCAGGTGACGCACCCCAGAATCAGAGAGGAGGGAGCCCGATTCCTTGTGGGGCTGCGCGATTTCACCTTCGGCGTGAGTTATGTTGTTGCTGGGGCACTGTCAGCCCCAAATCTGGTTTACTGTTGAGATGCGGTGACCACAGACGCCCTTTGAGCTGCAGCACTGCCCCAGGTTCGGCGCGGGGAGGAACTGCGGGAGGTTGGCTCCAGGATGTGTCCAGCCCATCTTGCCCAGTCCTGCCCCACCAGCCACCTTCTAATTAATTTCCTTTCAATGTGCACAGATTTGTGTATTGGGCCACTAGTTACTTTTATAATCAGAAAAAAATTTTTTCTAAGAAACAGAACCTTCAGGTTTTGTCCACTGGCTAAGTAGCAACAAATTTTTCACATATTCAATGCAGAACAAAATTGAATGTGTGAAAAATAGTCCAAAATTTGGACTATTTCTTGTCTAGTCCAAAGAAATATTATAACCTTATTGTGAATAAAATTTTTATAATTACTATTATCTGAAATGCAATCCGAAATGAACTTTAACTCTATTTATCCACTTTTCTGGCCTCAAAAAAAGTCACTTGGTTGGCATGGCTCAGTGGTTGAGCATTGACCTATGAATCAGGAGGTCATGGTTCAATTCCTGGTCAGGGCATGTGTCTGGGTTGCGGGCTTAATCCCCAGTGTGGGGCATGCAGGAGGCAGCCAATCAGTGATTCTCTCTCATCATTGGTGTTTCTCTTTTTCTCCCTGAAATCAATAAAAGTATATTAAAAAAAATAAAAGAAAATAAAGAAAAACCATTAAGAGGAACCCAAGAGCATATAACCAGACTAAATGGGAATGCAGCAACTGAGGAAAACAGAATGACCAAATTGTGAATGAGTGACAGGTTTTCCAGGAGAATAGTTAGCTTTTGATTTAATTCTCTGTTGCAGATCTTAGCCCTCAGTTTCATTTCTTAAGGAAAACACCATGCACTTCTTATTAACGCCAACCTCAAAATAGTAATTCCAAATCTCTCTGAATTCTTTACTCCTTTATGTCATACTAGTGGCCCGGTAAACGGATTCGTGCACATTGAGAGGAAATTAATTAGAAGGTGGCTGGTGGTGTGGGACTGGGCAAGTTGGGCTGGACACGCCCTGGAGCCAACCTCCCGCATTCCCTCCCCAGCCAGCCACACCCCTGGGGTGGTGCCGTGGCTTGAAGGTTATCTGTGGTTACCGCATCTAGGCAGTAAATGAGATTCGGGGCTGACAGTGCCCCAGCAATAACATAACCCACAGGTGAAGGTGGAATTGCACAGCTCCACGAAGAATTGGGCTCCCTCCTCTCTGGTTCTGGGGTGTGTCACTGGAGAACTGCTGCTGCCAAGTCACTACAGATCGGCAGCTCCTGTGTTGAGTGTCTGCCCCCTGGTGGTCAGTGTGCATCATAGGTACCAGACGGTTGCTTAGCCTTTATATACATAGACTAGAGA